TAAGATGTATGAACATAAAACAATTATAAATTTTACATGTTTAAAATATATATTCAAAATCATTCTTCTCTGATGTATTGCTATGAATACACACCAATAACCGTAGGTAAAAAATCTTCGTACGCTATACGCTGTATAGTTGCAATGACAATTCTTCGTGCTTCTTGATAAAGCGTTTCGTCCGACCAATTCGGATTTAAAGCCGACAATTTATAAGTAATGTAGTTGTGGAACCTTAAGAATAATGTTTGCATTGCCGTTATTCCCAGATTTTGATTACCGTTTTTTGGATCTCCTGTATAGAAATATAGGTTAAAAATGGTATGCCTTTACTTGATCGCAGAAATGTGGGCATAAGACATTTGAGTGTTTTATAAAAATTAATTGTATATTAAAATATCTATACTATATTTTGATTCAATGATGATAAACAATCTAACAATAATTTGTTATCTCGAAAATTTTAAATTTAAAATAAAATAACTTATTTGATGATATTCAAAATTATTTTTAGGTAATAAAATACGGTTTGAACTATATGCAAGATAACTTCAACACATTTTTTTCAAGTTCATTAAAAAAAATGTCCTGTAAATGACATATAAATTTTTACAATATCATATTTTTACATTTTTAATTTATTTTATATTAAGTATGCTATACTACTTAACATGTAGATATTAATTTAAGGCTAGACTCCTATTTTTAACAGGTTTAGAAAATTTTAAACTAATCAACAATTTGTTAGGTATACCTATACTGTTTAAATAAAATTTAAATACCTAATTTCTGTACCAGAATTTTAAATTTAAGTTGTTCAATATATGTAGACTAATAGTGTTTCGATATTTAACTGATATAATAAAAATTTTACAGGTCAAACCTTCGGTGTTTTTTTGAACATATCTGTTCATTCAATTTAATAAAATGTTCTACAATATGCAATTATTGTGAAATGGATACTGATAAGTTGATAAATAGTGATTTTTTAAAAAATATTGAAGCAGATATAGCTGATCTATCTGAAAACATAGTATGTGATAGTATAGATATTAATTCTGATTGTTTGAACTATCCATCAGCAAGTCAAAATAGATCTCAGGCAATGATTAATTAATGAATAATTAATGAATAATCAATATTTAATTATAAAAAGAGTTCTGTCCCCCAATGTATTCTATTAACATATAATTACAAAAAATAATAAATTTCTCTTCTACTATATGTCATATATCCAATATTTAATTTTGAGTACAGTTTAAGAACATTAAAGAACCAAAAAAAATTACAAAAATGTTGTTTGATTTGTGGTTGGAAACTATTATACATATATAAATAAACCTGTGTCGTAATGAATGCCGTGGGGTCGTTTGTTTGAGCTAAATTCGACGCCCTCTTTGCTTCCTATGAACGGACAGAACATCTGACCGTTTTCACTTACTGAGAACCTAAGTCTTCCACCCTCCATGAGTCTGAGATGTTTGGTAACATTTTCTTTTGATCCGTACACTTCAGATGCGTCGATGAATTGAGTGTTCACATTCATCTGAAATCCAATAGATATTATATTTATGTTTATAGGTAACGATAGTATAATCAGCAGGATTACATTTACCAGCAATATATTAAAAAAATTTGAGTAACAACCTATACGGTGTCAATTATTGATATATTTTCAAAAGTTAAACTTTATAATTTAGTTAAATAATGTTTGCAATAAAATAATTTTTATTTATTTTATTTGAAATATGGGTGTATATAAATACATTTCCTTCACGGCATCTATGTTTATATATGTTATGTAAAAATTTCAAATACCGGTAAAACCTAGGACTGTGATTTATGATACCCGAATGCGGTCGGTAAATGTCTGAATTTAGGATATTTACCGATTGCTTTTGGTAAAATCTGGGATACACATAATAGTTAGATAAAACTCCGAATGATTTTTGAAGTTCGGACTCATGCAAACCAAAGTTGATAAACTCTCGGATAAAAAACTAGCATAGTAAAATCCCAAAAATTGTCACCCATTATATTATAAATTCTCCCATGCTTTATACTCCTCGCGCATAAACCATTTTATTATTATTTAAGTATATTAGGTAATACTGGGCTTCAGACTCCCAAAATTTTAAAAAATTTAAATAATATCTTTACCTGTAATAAAAGTTTTTACTATTAAACAATTTGTTGTACATACAATTTAGTTTATGATACGGAACAGGTTATACTCGTAAGATACAAATAACAAATTGATATCCAGTCCTATTAAAAGTCATTTTACGAGCAGTATTTATATTAAAATTGTTATGAATAGTATGTATTACGTTCAATACTTGACTTAAAATAGGATTTAACGAACTTTAAAGTGGTGTTGTCGCAGCAAAAAAATGAAAAAAATAACTCTTTATACATAACTACCTATTGAAAAATATGATATATTATTGAATGAAGTCAAAGAACTAAAATCTGTAAATGTTGAAAAATCAATTAATTATTGTTGACTTGATATTGTATACATCATGGGTTTTATATTATTTATAATAGTGAAAAATAAAATGTGATCTCTCCGATGAATGGTGTTTCCGAGTCCATGTTACTTTATAAGTATATGTTTGTTATAATGATTTGTATTAAATTATTCACCAAGCACACATTGCAACAGGTCACAAAGGTAAAAATCCTAATATACTTAAATAAAAATAATATTATTCTTTATATACAAGTATAAATCAAGGGGAAAAATATCTGATATTGCTGAAAAATTTCGGTTTTTCACTATCGCTGGTTGTTTATTTCAAGATTTATCACATTTTGTTAGCAGAAGTTCGAACTACAAGAATCATTCGACGTTACACCAAATTATTTTGTGTGTCCTTGGTAAAAACGAAATTAATCCGAAAAATCTAGGATTTACCAGTAAATCCTACGTTTTACTGCTATTTATACTTTTACCGTGACATACATATACGATATGCTTATAATGATTTTGAAAAAAAATCATGAATTATAACTACTTGATGAAGATAGTTCGACTTACAAACGTTGTGGGGAACAACGGACAGCTGTAATTCCTCGATGTTAACGAACGGTAATTATTCATACCAGTTACATTGTATTTTCCATAAACAGGGTCATCGGGAGGAAAATCAACAGCCGCTTGGCATTGTGTAAATGTCTTTCTTGCAATTTTGTCGGTGGCACAATTAACCAGGACACCTAAGTTTTGTATTTTATAAAAAATATTTTAATACGTATATTAAGAAATAAAATAGTACAACGTGACTATTAACATCATATAAGCAAGTTATAAGTTTGTAGAGATGACTGTATTCTGTTTGATTCATCGATAGATACTATTTTTACCAATAGTACCGGGGTCGGAACCGATAACAATTTCATTTTTTGTTGTGTGTTCAGTATTATAATAATACTTAAGGGGGGCCACACCCATATGTGATATCTCCAAACAAATGTAAAACATATAACTAATTAATACTACAATATTGTAATAAATATAAAAAACAACAATTTGAATGACTGAAACAAACGTAATGATGTAATTAGGATGCATAATATATTTACGTAGGGTATATAGAAAATTATATTTAAGCATTTATTTGTATAATGCAACGGGAATATTTGACTATAAGAGAAAATGAGTTCTAAGTATCTATTGAAAGCATATAAACTGCAATCGATTGATAAAACTACAAAATATTCGCTCATCTCTAGTAATAATATAAGTTTCCGTACCCTGTTCGTCAAACAATGTGTCATCCGGCAGACCCGTTATGTCATGGGCTAACAGTTGCGCAAACGGCAATAGAAGTATATTATTTTCATCCACGTGGTACAGTTCTCGGCCCATAAATATTTTGTCGTTGATTAATCTAGCACTAGGCAATGCGCTTCCATTTATTTGCTTTCGTAGTTCATAATAACCTTTAAAGTTAATTAGAGTAGGATGAGTATTGTTTTTTGATGTTGAGTCGTGTTTCAATTTTTTCGAGTAGGATTCAAAATTCGAGTACTAGAAAAATGCTGATTATTAAGAAAAAAAACGAGTACTCAATAATTTGAAGTGCAGAGTAGTTGAAAAATGTTAAATACTCGAGAAAAAGTCGTGATTACCAATTTGTATAGAATGTTAAAAAATGATAATAAAATATCAAAACAGTAGCAATCTCTTATTATTAATTTAAACCATCAACCTTTCTAGTGTTTTCAATCGGAAATATTTGACTTCCAATTAATTATAGTTTTAATATTTATTTTTTAATAAAGTAGTGAAATAAACTCGAGTACTTGTTTCAAGGCGTGTATTAGACTTAAGTTGAAAAGATTTAAGTTATGTACTCGATTGAAGTTGAATAAAATCAAATACTCGTATTTACGAGTGTAACATTTTTTTTGTCAAGTCGAGTCTAGTTGAGTCGAATACTCGAAATTGGACTTGAAAAATTTTATAAACTTAAGTACTCGTCCAACTATAAAATTAAATATATTGTTGGATTATTGTTTGTCCAAATTTTCATTATTTCACAAGAAGTAATTTGAATCATCGTATCAGTGGTACCGAGAAAAATTACTAAGGAATAAAATATTATTAAAAACTAAGGCCGTCTTACCATCACCGAATTCAGCATCAAGCAAACGCAAAAATGGCGTTTCTGCTGCACCCATGGTGGGTGATAGTAAATTATTACAAGAACCATTAATTGTTCTGTACTTTGCATTCGGATCGCAACTCACTGTAGGAGCACATCTTCTTATATACTCGTCAGCATTATTTATTGTTAAATTACTCGAAATGTGCAGTGGATTTTTCGTATGCTAAAATATAAAATTATTTCAACTATATAATTATTTTTTATTTATTAATACAAGTATTTAATATCCAAAAGGGGTAGTTAGTATAGATTTTAAATTAACAAAAAGTATACAAATAATTTATCATATTAAAATTATAATTATAATGCGATAATGATATTAATTGATATTAAGTACCAAGGTTTAAATTCTATGGGACATCTTGATTTTATGAATGTACTATGTATCATATTATAATCTTTACTTTATAAAAAAAACTAAACGATGATATTTTAGGGATTCTAGTAAGAGTTATAAATACGATAATCGTATATGATTGCAATATACGAATATATACGAGTAGGATGCGAGGAAAAATATATGTCTTCTAAACCGTTATTTTATTCCTCCTTGATATTATAAATATATTAAAAGTTATAGCAGCTATTTCTAACCTTTTATAAGACGTGATGACCTTTTTAAACTGTGGTTATCTTATTGAATATTTGAAAATACTGTGTAGAACTCAAAAGGTTTAGGTTCAAGAAGTTATGTCACTTTATTCAACAAATTGTTATACAATACAGTTTGCCTTAGTTGTATTACGAAACTTGTAATGTATCATTTAAATATTTTGAAACTATGAGATTTCTTCAAAATGCTAATATGATTAATAATATAAAATAAAAATAAAATGTATTTAAAAAACCGTAAATCCTATATTTTTGCCAATAGTTGAATTATTTAATTTTTCTTTAAAAATTATATGTTCTTTAATGAAGCTCTTTGTAATTTTATTGTAACTGTAACTGTTTTAGAGTAAAATACAGAAAACCGTAAAACTATCCTCTTTTTAGCAATTTTCAACCTTCAAGAGGCACGGGAAGGGTGTGAATCATCATCATCAAATTTGACCTAAATTATTTTTACATAATATCAAACTAAATAGGGGGTCCTAGCATCAAATTTTTACAGTTGAAATTTTAGGACCACCCTAATGACAAATGAGTGATCTCAATAAATCATTGTAGTAGCTAAGTAATTTATAGAATTACACCTAAATGTTTTAAATATTTGATTTTGAAATACTTATACATTTTTTTAATAATTTTCAAGTTTTAAGTAAAAATATAAAATCTTTGAGTTTTTAAGTACAAATTTGTAGTAGATTTTCATGATTTATATAGTATTCTAAATGTAATATTAAAACTTCGTAAAACTTGTTTTGAAACTAAGCAAAATTATATTTTATTAATCAATAAAAAATATGTATGAGGAACTTGTGATTAAATTTTCAAAATATTTTGCCAAACCAAAATAATTTGATCGTCATTTTACGAAAAAAATCATAGAAAAATGATATTTACAATTCCATACCAATAGTTCAAATATTTTGAGAATTATATCATGCACAGTAAATGGTCATTTTATTATTCATTGAAAATGTCAAGTCTTTATAATTCATAGTTTTTGAGTTGAAATAAAAATTTGTTTTAGTCAAAAATAATGTCATTCTTATTATAACTTTTGGTCAGTTATTCACAGTTATTAGGAAAATTGTTGGGAATTTCGAAAAACGACCCCCTCCCCGCAATACC